TCCAATTTCAGTATTTCCCAGTCTGAGCTGGCTATTGACGATTGATCGGGAGCTTGAGACGTGCCCGGCGTGAGCTTCGCTTTCATCTCGGGGAAAGACACGGTAGTCGGAGGCGAGCTCAGGGACAGCATCTGGATCTGCGGCACACATTGCTCGCTGCCCGAGCTACCTCGCTCATATAGCATGTCCGGCAGGTCGCCAACATCTGTGTCTTTGGTGTTTAAACTGGATAGGGAGGTGAAGTCATAGTAAGAATCGAAGCTGGGGACGAACTCGCTGATGAGCTGATCTACCTCCTTCAACGGCCGCCGTCAACTCAACCAGAAACACGCTGTTGGTCCTTGTCTCCACCGCCAGAGAGAGGAATGCTCACCTTTTCAAGTTCTTCGCCAATATGTGTCGTAAGGACAGAAGACTGCTTTGATGCCATGGCTGCTGGAGCCCCGTTGCACCATACTCGATCTCAGCTTCACCGGCCTTTTGGAGTAACTGTTGCTGCTCTTCGACATGGAAGGTTGATCGCATCACAACGACGGCCTCAGAATCAGCGCAGATACTGGCCACATTGCAGGACGGTAGAACCACCCCCCGGGAATGAATGGAGGACAAGATACGCAGCCATCCGTTAATTCATTCAATATATTTTTCATACTCCCGCAAAAAATTACATTACCAGGGCTTTCGTATGCGTGTGTACCAAAAGGCAGACGGTACCGTAAAGACAGCCACGATACGCCAGAGCGATAGTTAAAATACCCATGTTGATATTCGGCCTCGACCCCAGCACAGCCAATACGGGGAAGCAGCCAGAAGAAACACTCTGTTGAACGTGCAAGCTTCGTGCATGGAAGGTGTCTTGCCATCCCGGCGTCAGCAAGGATCCGGTGCTGTAAGAAATCGAATCACCTGAGCGTTGTTGCGAGGTCAAGCCTGGAGGAGAGGACGGCGGATGAAGATGGCTTCTCTTGTTTTCTCCTCCATGCGAACGATATCCTATACCCCCCTGGTCTTCCCGTGCAGAGGAGTCCTCGTATGCTGCCAGCCAAGGCCCTTTTCAGCCTCTAGATGACGGTGGAGATATCGGGAGATCCATTGTATCCATGTCCCTCCGTCAATACTCACACCTCAGCGTGCCACGACTTGCCAGCCATGCGACGGTTTGAAACGCATATACGCATTCTATGGGCTGTCCGCACCCTTTTGTCAGATGCGGCTCTGGGGAAGGTTGCTGGACTGGAAGCTCCAGTAGCTGCACCAGCCGAGTTAATGTTCATAGACATGCATATAAAAGCCTGGCCCACACCCGAATATTCGACGCCTTGAGGCATCATCCGCGCTTACCAGGCTGAATATATTATTTTTCATACTATCTATAGAGGTATCTAGTTAACCTAGTTACCCTGTGCTGAGCTGACCTGGGTGTCATCGGCACTTAGGGCGGATGCAATGCCGCAACGCCCAAATCAGTTGCGCCCTCCGGCTGAGTATCCGGGCAGAGAAGAGCCTTACTATTGTGAGCCGAGTTATCCAGGGATTCTAGTCATCGCTGACCTTCTGGGTAGCACAGTCCTATCGTGGAACCGGGCCTCTGTCACAGGATGGCTCGGTCAACTCCCCTTCTAACTACGAGGAGTAAGTCTCTGCTCCGCCAACGAGATTATTATGCATCTAAAGATCTTTTTATCAAAGTGTCACTGTTGATACTATTGCTGAATAGATGAATATCGTCCACGTGGTATACGGTCTTTCGTCCTCAGAATTACTGATTGCGTTAACTAAACATATAGGGATATACCGGAAAATTCGAGTACTGTCCGCCTCAGCATAGACAGCGGGTATCATGGGGACTCTTCAGGGGTTCCGATCTACCAACATTCAAGCCAGAGGCAGAGACCAACCGCATGGGCTCACTCAACGCAGACGAGTCTTTCATACCCATCACCAACTCCGTCACAATATGACCACAGGACATGGCAAAGCCCTAGTGACACAAATAGAAGATTCTCAAATCCTACCTATCAAGGTAACAACTATGAACTGATTTCAAGGTAGGTTACTCGTTTCTTAATTTATTTTCCAATTATGTTTGAGATACTATCATCAATATTTCCTTGTTGAACCAAAAGCTTACTTCGAGCTGATCACTTCACCCGGTGACCAGCAATGCTGCCCCAGTTCCTTCGCACCTTAGTTATCAATCGGACGGATACAGCCCCTATGGCCTCCAGAGGGCTTACAGTGGTATGGTAACTCTATGGTTGTATGATAGTACCGTATCTAACTTTGGAGTGACACATCAGGGCCCTGGAACAGCACTCACCAAGATGTTATAAGGTTCAATAGGGGTAAGTAGACGTCACATCAGCGATATATGTCCATAGAAACTGAACAACCAAAGATTATAAGGTCCAGTCAACGCAATTCTACTCCATCGGTAGGGTATGGGACTAACTCCAGACTGTCAGCAAACCTGCAATGTGCTAAATTTTCAATTATTATGTATAGGTTATTTCGGTATACTGGGCAGAGCCTGCCGGTGATACTTCTGTACCGCATGGTCGCGGCAGTCCTTACTTCTATTCGGCTGGGTATGGTCAAGAGGTTCATGCAAACATTCGTAGAATGGTTGTTGTCAATAACCAGCAAGGCTGTTCGTGGTGTCTGTAAGTAGTTATCATCGGCTACCTCTAACGAAGTATCAAAACAACGAGCTAATTCTGTATAAAAGGGCTATCTATACTTATGGAGGAAGAGGCCTTTTGAAGCCGGGTATTGACCTGAACACTCACTCAGTAGTATACATGAGGGGAAGTGAGCCCGCTTATTACGCCCCAGGACGAGAAGCTGGAATACCCCCTATCATGATAAACCCCTTTACCCCGGAAGATAAACTCCAGGAATCATCTTGCCTCAACTTCGGAAAGGTTTTCACTGTGGATCATAACATTAAGGTCAAGCCTATCGGACATGTCAGCCAGGAATCTCTAAGACTTTTCAACCGAGCTTGGAGACGGTGTCTTGACAACGAAGATTACGGTAACTAATCTTGAACATTCGGACAACATTATGACCAACTCTACCGCTGAGGCCATTCACTCTCTCACTGGTGACGATTATATATACGTCAGACACGCTGATTATTTCTCTTAAATATACGTTGGCCCCTTTCATTTCTGTTACCTTTTTATACGGACTACGACGTTCCAACCTGTTTCATTCAACAATTCAACATGTTGGTTTCTTTTGAGCAGCAGGTTTCAACCCATTCTTCCTTAGGGTCCTTTCATCTATTGCAAGTATCAAACCAAAACTCAAACCTAAGTCTTGCCTTCTTTTCTCTATATTCAACATTGTTCAAAAATATACAACGTCCTTCAACAGCACAGACACAGCGGTTGTTTTTACTTTACATTGAATTCCATTCATTTTATGCGTACCCTGCGTCAAATGGTCCAGGTTATTTACACGACTGACAATACACAATCCGAATGATTTTACTCCCGATATATACGTCTTTTATATAATCAAATTGAATTTACCTTAACTACCAAATTATGGAGTCTCTACTATATTTATCTGCCGTCAGTTAACTGGCTATATTTTCCGAGGAAGCAATGCGTGGCTTTTAAATAGCTGTCATTAAACACTGTAATCTCTTCTGGCCATGGCCATGTTAATTACTGCACTGCACTGCACTTTACAATTCTCCATTGATAAAGTCCACAACCTGTGCTTTCTCGAGAACTTCACCGGCGCTCTTCACAAAGTCCTGGTGCATGGGGTCCTTCTGGACATAATAGTCTCGATCCTCCTTGCTTGCAAAATTGACCACAAAGGCGTGCGTCATGCCATTCTTCATGTAAAAAGTTAGAAAACAGGCATATTAGAAGTATCAGATACAGAATACTAGTTAAATTTCATCTTACCTGGATACCTTCGATCGACATATCAACCCCGCCAGAAGATGAAAGGATATAAGGCTTCTGGGTAAGCGGATGAAGACATTTGTCTTTTAAACCTAGCATACGAGTGGACAGCTACAATGTAAGTTAGCGCCCGTCCATTAAACAGGTATCCAGGTTTGGTTTACACTAACATTGCGTACGGCCTCTGGTGAGACCTCCTTTTTGAACTGGAAGAGGACGACATGTGTGACTGACATGCTGGCGGCTAGCTGGGATACGGGCGAAGAGGTCAAATGGGCGAGAAACAGAGTGATAGCGCAGAGAGCAACTAAAGCAATGAACAGGCTTATCCGCTGTACTTTTGAGAGCATGGCAGGGAGAAGTACGCATAAATTAGAACACGACGTCGTTTTTGATGCTATCAACCCGCAGGCATCAATTAATCCCTGTTGGCCCGGATGAATAGTTATGTTATCCGATGCTAACAGTTACTTCCTTTCACCTCTACCAGCACCTCGAAATCGCTGTTGTTCGCATTGGCTGTGGCCTTGGTTTCTTCAACTTGCTAGCCGCGGCGGAAGCGCCACTCCGCGTGGAAAACCTGGCTCGATCAGCCGGCGCAGACCCGCAGCTGTGCGGGCGCCTATTGCGCTAGTTAACTAGTTATCTCGCGTCAGTCCGCCTCGTTGCGGAAACGAGCAAAGACTGTTACGCGGCAAACAACTCGACTAGAGCCCTGGTGGATCCAAAAATTCATGATAGACCAAAGGACAGCGTTCATGCCTGAGATGTCGGCGGCGGTTTTCTGGACAAGACTGTGCCCAAGCACATATCCTGGATGCATCGATACCACCTCCAAGTCGCTAGTTATGGGCGTGAAACAGGCGCTGCAGCTCCGCGACTTGCGTAATACCCAGCTTAGCTTCCATCGACAAGCATTCGGTTTTTAGAGGCAGTCAGGAAGCGGTGACAAGAGAATAATCAATATATCTATTTATCTATCTCCGCAGAAGGAACCATCCATATTTCAACAAATTTGGATGGCAACTAAACTATGACGATAGAAGTCCTATATAAATCAAGCCTCCAACTCCCTCAGAACTGGAAGACCTGATCCTTGGTAAATCCAATCTGTTTGAGGATACCATCGTGCCTCTTACCCACTAGAGCAGCTTCCATGGCGGGGGGTCCGCACACGAAGACTTTCGTCGCCACGGATTTTTCTCCTGTCTTGGGTAGCACCATATGCTTTGACAGCAGGTCGGCATTGATCCGGCCTTTTTCATGAGGAGATCCGGGCTCTGGGCTGCCAACGACAAAGGTGGCTTTAAACCGATCCGGGAACTGGTGCCGCCATTGGTCGAACTGGTCCTGGAAGAGGATCTCGGATTCGTTGTTAACGCCGTAGATCAGATTGATCTTGGTCCTAGTATCGTCTGGGTTGTTGAGGATACCCTGGGCAAGCTGGTACAATGGGGTGATGCCACCACCGCCAGCAATGAGAATGATGTCTTCATGCTTATTTGGCGTCCAGCTGTAGCTAGGGATTACGGCGGCAATGAGTAGTGTGTCACCTGGGGAGAGGCTGTGCAGGTGTGTGCTCATTTTGCCGCCCGAATAATGCTTGACTGTAAGATCCAGAAACCCGGGTTCATCTATATACAACGTCAGTTCATTCTCTGAGCATAGAGGTTCCCAAGGACAAATCTTACCAAGCCGGCTCACCGGAGTATACGGCCTTAAGACGGGGAAGAGGCTGCCCTTTGGCCATGCGGCGGTCAGGACGGCAGCTGCACGAATTAGCGCTCGGCTCGTGTTAATCATGATCGGTGATACGACACCTTTAAGAAAACAGCGGAGAATGGAAATACGTGGACTCACAGCAAAGGCCCAGGCCGCTGATGGTGTCTGGCGTGGGAAGCTCGAACCTCAGACGCTTGGAGGTCGGCGAAACCTGCTCAGAACTGTGCAGTCGTAGACGGAGAAAGCTAGGGCCGGCCTTCCAGAATGCTGCCTTGGTTGCTGGTTGGGACATGCGGGATGAGGTCTGGAAATTCCGGGTGATGATGAAGGTGGTGAAACCAGCAGCTGTGACGCCAGCGAGAACTCTGCCAACTGGCCAACCACTGAGACGACCTCGAAAGGTTATGAGCGTATGTTTGACTGCTTCCATGGCCGATCCGACGTGTGGAATAAGAGAAAGAGAGAGAGAGAGAAGCAAAAAAAGAGAGAGGAATGGAGAAACGAGCGACGCTTGAGCTGTCGACGTTCCGATGCAATAATAATGACAATTGGCCAGAACAACCAAAGGGCTGCTACCATAGGGGAAAATTGAGTTTTTTCAGAACGCCAAATCTATTATTCCGATACGAGTGGAGCTCCAGCTTACTATATAATAATACCTATACTATAAATATATTAAGAATATTTACTAGTTTAGTATATTACTCTATTATATATATATTAATTAAGAAGAATATTTTAATTATTAGAATATACTTTATTTTAAGAATTTATCTACTATATTTACTATTTATCTACTACTTCAATACTAACTATAAATTAGAATCTACTATTATACTACTATTATACTACTCTAATACTAACTATAAATTAAAACTTACTATTATACTACTTTAGTACTAATATTATACAACTTCGATACTAGGCTTGTACCCCCCACCCTAAGAAACTTCCCTCCCCCCCACCTATAAGGATAAAGGGGGGGGGTTAGGGGTAAAATACCCCCCTTTATAGTTTAGAGGAGGGGGGGTTGAGGTAAGATTTATTATATATTAGAGCTAGAGAGGGGGTTCTTAAGAAATTTTTAAAGTTAAAACTAGTAATATTGAAAAGTAGAGCTCTAATAAGTAATACTATATTAATAATAAAATTCCAATAATTATAAGATTTATTAATAATATACTTCTACTTTTTATTTTTAACTATATTTATTTTTTAATTAAGTAATAAATTTATAATTATAAAGTTACTCTCTCTTATAAATTAGTTTAAAAGTAAGAAACTTAGTTTTTATAATTTTAGAGGTAGAATTATTATTTAGATAGAGTAATATAACTAATAGTTTAGTTATACTTATTATTAGGCTAAAAAAAGAAATATAAACTAAAATGATATTATTTATTAGAAGAATAAATAAAGGTAATATATTAATAATAATGATAGAGGGAATAATATAATAAAATTATTAATTAGCCTTATTTATATAGTAGTTTTTAATATTATACTAAATATAACTAATATAATTTTAGATATTATTTTTTATTTATTCTTTCTCTAGTTTATAATATTTATATTAAATCTATTAATAATTATTAATTATTATTAATATAGTAGCCTTAATAATATTAAACTAAAGAGTAATTTAATAATAAGTATATATATTATAAGTACTATTAAAAAATTTTCCTATATCAACTTCTATTATTAGAACTATAAGAAAATCTCGTATAATATAAGTAAAAATAAAGAAATAAACTTTATTTTAATATTATTATTTAGTAATATTTATAAATATAAATTTATTAATATTTATCTATTTATTAGATTTAAATTTTATAATTATTAAATCTTAGAATAAAATATACTTTTATAGAGATAAATATT